CTATCTATCTATCTATCTATCTATCTATTTTTCTTTCTATCTATCTGTCTATCTATCTACCTACCTATCTATCTATCTATTTTTCTATCTATCTATCTATCTACCTATCTATCTATTTTTCTTTCTATCTATCTATCTATCTGTCTATCTATCTATCTATCTATCTATCTATCTATCTATCTATCTATCTACCTATCTATCTATTTTTCTTTCTATCTATCTATCTATCTGTCTGTCTATCTATCTATCTATCTATCTATCTATCTATCTATCTATCTATCTATCTACTTACCTATTGCTCTAGCTCTCTGTCACCCTTCCTCTGTCTAGGCCCCATTTGCTCCCTATCTCCAGGTATCCTTCTTGAGCTCTGCTTTGATGAGCTCATTCAAAGTCTTGGTTACTGCTAGCTTTCCCTTGTTTGTATGACCCCCATGTTCTCTCACCTGAATATTCTTCTCATTGGTTTTCTACTTCTGGTGTCTCTCTGCGACAGCCAATCCACAAAGACCAGCGTCACTTGGTTTTCCCCCTTCAGCAAATTTGCTACCCACTGCTATGACGTCCATTCCTTCTCACAGTGACCCCGTAAGGCAGAGTAGAACTGCCCCTGTCTGTTTCTGAGGTTGTAAATCTCCACAGTAGCCAAATCCTTCTTTCTCCTCTCTACCAGCTAAAGGGTTCAAATGGCTGAGCTGCAAGATCAGTGAACTTTTTGAATTGAAGGTCACTTTTTCATACATATATTTTCACGGAAAATAATTTCTATTTTCTGCATCGTCAGGGTGATGTTGGCAATCCTGGAACAGCTGGCAGTCCCGGACCCAGAGGATTCCGGGGACGAGTTGTAAGTGGCCTGTAGTTTTGGAAGTAATAAATGTCTCCTTGGAAGCCTCTGACCCTTCTGCTATAATTATAAATGTTGATTAATGATCTAACCTAAGGGCATCTGAGCTGCCAAAAGCTATCTGTGTGAGCCTTAGCACATCTCTAGGTCAATTTTGAGGATATGAGTGTCCATCTACTGACCCCTAAAGTCATCTGCTGCTTTAAAACTCTGAGGTTCCAGAGGTCAGAATGAGCTTTGAGATTTACACTGTGATGACTGATGGTTCCAAGAAATGCCAGTGCTTTCCAGTTGTTTCTAAGGCACCTACTCCAGTCTAGAGCATTAGCCCTGAGAGTCCTTTCCTGATTCCACTATGCATAACCAAGGTCATTTTAAGGCGTGCCTTTGAGAACTTATAATTATCCATGTGCAGAGAAGAATAGCATGAATACTTAAAACAAAACTCTGAGACAAACAGCAGTTCATATTAAAGTTAAGCACAACATCTCTGGTCATTCTCAACATAAAAGTGATGCAATTCAATGACTCCTCTCCCTCTGGCTGGGTAGATTTTATTAGCATCCATATCCATCACCTTGAGGTATAGGGTTGACACATCCCACCCACGTCTTCTGGTGTAGATGAGGGATCATTTTCCTTACTTGACATTTAGCAGATGGGAGGGTTGGTTTTGTTTTTTCAAGATCTCAGTGTGCCTTAGTATGTTTGCTTTGTCCGGTAACTCCAGTGCCAGTTGATAACGAATTCAGATTTAAATGCAAGGCCAGTACCAGGGCAAAGCATGTCACGAATAAGGAGGCTACGAGGGAAACGGATGTTTACTAAGGATTAAGAAGAGCTCATTTATATTACAAGTAACCGGTTTCCTTGACTTCAATGAACAGTATCTGAAAGCAAAAAAAAATTTTTTTCATTTGAAACTCTCATTAACATTGAGATCATCCCAGTGGATAGACAGGGCAGTGACGTACGCGTGTCTCTGTCTGCAGTTCACTGAAGGCTTTCCAGGGGAAAAGGGATCACCAGGAACCCCAGGCCCTCCTGGACGCATCGTAAGTATGCCCATGGTTTTCCTTTTATGCTTCCAGTTTAGTGGTTTCTGGGGCCTTCGGTCAGTCGAAAGGGAACAGAATTTAAGTCCAAGTTCATGTTTCTTGGCAGCCGTGAGTCCTTGGGTCAGTTCCTGAGTCTCTCAGTTGATCTCAGAAAGGGGGAGGATCCACGCCATCCCAATCAGCTCCAAAGGTAGCCAGCTGTGAGGATAAGATAATCCAAGGGCAACACTCTTAGTAACCCATCCAGTGGAACACCAACATCAGCGGTCACTGTTGTTTCTTCCCAGAGCTTTGACAATAAGGGTGGGATTGTGTACGCTTCACACAGGTGTTCAGACAAAGTTCTATCCTGGGACACATTGATAGGACACTATGATTCCCTTCCTTTCCTCAAAGTTAGGCTTCTAGAGGGATGTGGAAATATAACCCTAACTTCCCCGGGTGATCCCATGACAGGAGAAGTGTTGTTTCCTCTGGAAGTGTTCCGAGGCCGAGGCAGGTCCATCTCCCACTGGCGAGATTGTCCTGTCCCTGTTTAGTGCTTTCACGTTGTGATGGTTTATTGATGTGTCTGTTTTCCCTAATGAGCATATCGGGGAAGAACTGAATGTTCCCAGTGCCGATCTTCTGTGCAGGAAGCCCAAGGCCCATTGCATAAGGAGTAGAAAAATCACTTTGTTTTGAGTATTGTACCACAGGAGACAGTCTGACTATGAAGAAACAACAACAAAAAGACCCGTGGATGACTGAATTGTACTAGCATGAGAATCCACCGAGGGTAAAGGCTACTCTGAGACAATACGTGATTTCTTCCTCGCTGAGAAGTTGATGCACCTTGTTAGTCATGTGTATAAGAACGTCGGATCAGGACCGATCTGGTCCACTCTGCATTTCTCCCCTGGCTGCCTTCTGGAGCTCCTGGTTTGGGTTTCCACGTCTTCCTGTTCTTACGCTCGGCCCCTGCTGGTCAGGGTGAGGATTACCAAGCTCAATAAGAAAAGTAATTTTGCTTCCTCTGGGTCGACATCACTTCACTAGATCTAACACTGAAGCAACAACAAGCAACGTTGACTCAGCGAGAATGGGGAAAGCGCATGGTCATCTAGGGTGCAGAATACTTTGACTTAACCCTGACTCTAAACGTTGCTTTTAAGAGTTGAGGGGTTTGGTTTTGTTTCGTGACAAAACAACTCGGGTTTCCATCTCAGCAACTTGTGCTGTGTTTGTTTTCCTAGGGCCCTAAAGGTGCAAACGGGATCACTGACACTTCTGTACGTATCTCTTGATTCACGAGAGCCAACCCAACCCATCCGCTGGGGAGTCCCCAGGGCCCCTGCAGAGGTCTCTGCTCACAAATTTTCTTGCTCTTTTTCATTTGCAGCCATGTGAGCTGATCCAGTTCTTGCGAGATCACAGTCGTGAGTATCTGAGTGTGAGGAGTCAGAGCACCCCGGCTCGGTGAAGGGACTGAGGAGAGACCAGGGTGTGGGCACGCAGGAGCTGGGAACTGGATTGACTGGTGGGGACGGCATAGGCCCCCTGAACAGGCTTATCTTGAGAGAGCTTCTGTGGGAAGAGTTCAGATCAAACGTGGCAGAAAAAGACAGAGCCGGTAAGTAAAAGACACAGGTCTTTGCTCAGGGAGTGCGTGATAGACACACAGGGAGAGAAACCAGGCCTATGTGCAGCCATGAGACATCAGCTGTATTGGGGGGGGGGGGTGTTAGCTCCCACCACTGCCACAGCTCCAAGCCAAAGGACTGAGGGGCATTGATGATAAGGGCATGGATGTGGTGTGGGTTGGTGATGAGTTGGTTAGCTGGTTGGGTAAGCATGGCAGCTGAAAACCAAAGTGAAACAATCCCACCCAATGCTGCCGGGTCCATTCTGAGTCAGGATGGCCCTGCGTGCTACAGAGGAACTCTGCTCTCTGGGGTTTTCTTGGCTGTACTGTGAACAATGACGGAGGGCCTGGCCTCTCTCCCGGGCACTGCTGGGTGGTTCAAACCTCCAATCGTTAGGTGAATAGTTGAGCCCAGATCATCTGTGCCCTCCGGGGACCCTCAGAAGGCTGCTAGGAGGGGGATCGTTGAGTCTGATGATGGGAAAGTGATGGGGAGCCATAAAAAGTTGGTTTCAGCCATGGAACAAGGCAGGAGTCAACAAACAGAGATGCTGTTTTAGACTATGAAGAAGGATGGGGGTGGTTTGGGATGACTATTTCATTTCTGAAGATGTATCCTAAGGATATCATGCAAAAGAAGGAAATAATAACACATGAGGACGTTCACTGAAGCACTACACATTAGCACCAAATGATGATATGTTTGGATTATTTACAATTCATTGAAAAACTAGGCCACGGTGCATCACATGCTTGATGAAATACAAGGCAGATAAGATTTCTATGAAGATTCAGTCAAGAGATGGAAATATGGAAACACATGGAATCCAGGACAGATAAACTCTCAGGACCAATAATGAGAGTAGCCATACCAGGAAGGTAAGGGGAAGGTGGGGTAGAAAGGGGGAACCGATCACAATGCTCTCCATATAACCCCCTCCCTGGGTGACAGACAACAGAAAAGTGCGTGAAGGGAGACATTGGTCAGTGTAAGACATGAAAAATAATAATTTATAAATTATTAAGAGTTTGGGAGGGAGGGAGGGAGAGAGGGAGGGTGGGGGAAGGAGGTGAGAAATGAGGAGCTGATACCAAGGGCTCAAGTAGAAAGAAAATGTTTTGAAAATGATGATGGCAACAAACGTACAAATGTGCTTGGCACATGGATGGATGGATTTTGATAAGAGTTGTATGAGCCCCCAATAAAATGATTAAAAGAAAAAAAGGCCACTTAACAGCAACAACAAAAAAAGGAGGAAATTAAATTGAGTCCTAGGATGATTACTTTTAGGTAAACATATGTCTACCTAGAAATAAGTACAAGCAGAAAAATTGGGGGTGGGACAAATGCAAAAACAAGTTGCATCCGGGTGGTAGCATGTTAGGCGATTTGTCTTCCTGTGTTTCCATACCATCGATCGTAACATTTATGCAATCTCGCTCAGAAGAAATAAGAGAAGACTCTGAGAAGGAGAATGGATTAAACAATGGAGTAAATGCGAGTGCACAGCCAGGCAGTGAGGACGCAAAAGAAGTTGGAAATCACTGTAAGACAAGAGAGGGCGAACCTCACATCAGAATGGACGAGCCAACAGAGCAAGAAATGTGAAGGGGAGCCAATCGGCAGGAACAGATGACGGGCAGAACAGCTGCCAGATAGCGAACTGTGGCGTAAGCTCTAAATGAAAACGGCCTTTGGCAGCTGAACGGGACAATGCCAAAAGTGCAGGAGCCCCCACCCAGCACAAGTGATTACACACCGAGTGCACCCGGAAGTGCCCCAAAAGACAAGCCTGGCTTCCAGCTTCCAAAAAAATCGGCCCCTGGACACCCCCGGGGAGTGCACCTGTCCTCTGAGACTCACGGGTTCACCTGAACCAGAATCAGCTCCACACAAACGGTTTGGTTTTCTAGTCAGGGTGCAGGGCCAGGGAAGGAGGCTCAGTCGTTTAAGTCACGCAAGGGCTGGTGGTCTTTGAAAGCCACCACCGGAGGGATAGATGAGGTTCCTAAGAGTCAGGAACTCATGGGATGCGGCCGGGAAGGTGCCTTGACAAAGGGGGCATGGTCCAGGTGCAGAAGAGGCGCCCTCAGGATGGGAAAGACCTCCCTAAATGTGGGCATCTTAGAGGAAGAGGAAACCAATGCCAAGCAATGTCACAGGCGGAGGCTATGTGTGAAAGACCTCGGATCGATGAGGAGGTGAAGCAATGGCCAGGGACCACAGGGAGAGGAAAAGGGGGGGGGGCGGGGGGGGCGGTTGTAGGGAAAAAGAGTGCGGTGATCAAACACCCTCATGGTGTTCCCCATCTTCCCAAAGAAATCACTGATGGCTTCTCAAGAAAGACAGGAAGTCTGCAGAAGGGAATGGGGAGCCCTGGGAGGGTTAGGGATTTGAAGGGAGATGTTCTCCAACACTGAATAGAAAATGTTAGACAGGAAATTAAGGGGGTGGGAGAGTTGAGAGGTTCTCTAGCCCAGACTCAGTGCTGATTGGACAGCATGGAGCTCCAGACCTAACTTCAAAATGGATGTCAGGCTTTTGATGATGGACCTTAAAAATAGACACCAAAGTCCTAACCTTGTACAGGATGCTGATGAGCTTGGACTGCTGGTCTACAACTATTTGCTCTTCAGTCCTGCTGCAGCGCTGCCACCCAGGGATACGGGTTTGTGTGCTGAGCTGGTGACTGGGACACTCACCCAAGAACAAAGGAAAAGGTCTAGGAAGAGGGGATCTAGGAGAGGTCTAGATCTAGGAGAGAGGGGAGGCTGAGCATCCAACAGGGGAGCCTGATCGTTTGGGAGGAGAGAGACATGAGTAAAGAAGATTTTTTTTTGTAGAGGAGGGAGGAGGGGGAGAGGAAAATGGACACTGAAGAAAAGCAGAAGCACAGCCCTAGAGATGGCTCCAAGGATGCCTTAGTTTGACCAGCTCCAGCCCAGGCAGGTGTGGCTACTCTCAAAGCTGGTGTCTCTTCTACCCACAGAGCCGAGTCGGAGGAGAACGAATGGGCGTTCTCAGCCCAAAGAAAGCCCTTGAAATGCAGGGGGCTGTGGGCAGTCTTGTGCACCTGCTAGCCACATCTCGGGGGCCGCAGAATTGAACACAAAGCAAAACAGAAAATGGGCACTTGGTGTTGACTCTCCCTCCCGGCCACCCCAGGTGTGTCAGGGCTGCATGTGGCCCCGGTAGGCTTGTCAAGGGCTAATGTCATGGCAGTCCAACACCAATCACCGGACCTTTCTTGGATGGCACCTCGAGGCCATTAGACAACCACTGCCAGCCTGTCCATTTAGCCACCAAGCCTACTAAGTTTGCACACACACACACACACACACACACATACACCCCCCGCCCCTGCCAGAACTCCACAGGATGAAATCAAATAACAGTTTTGCTCCAAGGGACACATGCCCAGTGGGCTGGCAGGAGGGGAGGCCACTTTGTTGCCAGCGTCCATAAAACAATGCATTCATCACACTGGAGTGACTCACTTGCTTTCCTAGAACAGAGTAAAAGGAGCAGGGAAACCAATTGGGCCCGTGTCTTCTGAAAGATGTACTAACACCACCCTCGTCCCCCACCACCACGATGAGTCTCAGGCATCGAGTAAATCACTCAGGAACCAGATGCTGTTTGTTTAGAAGGAAGGAATCCTTGGGGTTCCTCCCTCCTCTCCCCGTGGGTGTGGACATCACTCAGCAGACCAGCTCTGTTTTGCAGCAGAGAGAAAACTCATTCGGGACCCCGCATGGTCCCAAAAGAATGTCGAGTGCCCCAAGGAAGAGAAGAGGACCCCGTATTTTCGCCCTTGGCCTGATTGACTCTCGGGAGGCTATCAGCAGAGACAACACAAATGGGATGCTGGCTCTCTTGCTATTTAATCCAAGGCTCACCTAGCCTGTTTCCAAGATCGATGCTTCCAATTTCAAGCAAAATCCTGTTGACGTGGGCTGGCTGTGGCTCCCAAGGGGCCAGGGTCAGGAAGGTTCACCTGAGTCCAGTTCTGGGTGCCTGCTGGTCCTCAGCCCTTTCGCTTTAGTCTCTTGGCACGTCAGCATAGCCCCATTTGCAGTCAAAGGCAAATGAAACGTTCGGCTTTGTTGGGATATTCTTTGGCGAGGTGGGGTCGGGGGTGGGGATTGTTTTGAGTTTGTGTTTCCAAAACCTAACTCGTTCTTCTCTCTCTCGCCTTTTATAGCTTGTTGGGAAGGTGAGTGCTCTGGCTTTACTATGTTTTCTGGCTGAAAGAATGAGTATGTTCTGACAAGAACCCTGGGAGAGAAGCCCTTAGCTCCTGGAGACGGACAACTCAATTGTCTGCCGAGACCTCCGTCTTCAACCCCTGTGTCTTTTGAGTACAAAGGTTACAGCAGTGGGTTTGAGTCAGTGTCAGTGAGTACAAAGGTTATAGCAGTTTGGTCTTGATGGTAAAAGCTCATGAGGGCATCGCCCCTCCACGCCCCCTCTACCACCCCGCATGCCCCCAACTCTTTACACTGTTTTTTTTCCCTGCACTCTGTTTCGGTGTATGCTCGGTTTCTTGACAGAAGAATATTATTGGGGAATGCCTTGAATAGGGCCTTCGGGCCCAGCCTCATCCTGTTGCTCTGTTTGCTGCTGAACCCACGGACACAGGCTTTTTGGACAAGATGTTTCCTTTCCACCCTAAGACCCACATTCCCATCTTGCTTCTAACCAAGTGCCAACCATTTTCAAACCTTGCCCTGCCCAGTGTGGTCTCTCTTGCAATTGTGCTACCTGGCACCTTAGGTGCGTGGCTCTCGAAGCCAGCTATGTCAACCTGAGGAGCTCCTTCGCTCACAGAAGCCCGGGAAGGTAAACCCTGCGGGGTCTTCGAGCTTGTTCTGAAGGATGGACCCATTCACTTTAATTCAGGGGGATGTGCCTTGCATTGAGTAAGTGCTCAATGAAATATTTCATGGGTTTGACTTTATCAGGTGACCTGCAGACCACTAAAGCACACGTCGTCATCAAATGGATTCCCAAGCCCAGCAACTCTCTAGGGCAGGGCTGTCACCCTTACGCAAAGCAGCCTAGCAGGACTCTTCTCTCACGGAGTGGCGGGTGGGTTCAACCTTTTGGTTAGCAGCCAAATACTTAACGATGCACCACCAGGCCTCCTTGACACTAGCGCAGGAGGAGAGGGAAACCAGGATGCAGTTCCTCCCTTCCTGGAGAACCTGCGATGATCAGTCCGTCTCAAAGATTCTCCCCTCCCACATCACCAGTTATTTTTAGTGAAAGTCTAAGAAGTGGAGCACTCGACTCGCCTTATTCTGTTGGCTACTCACCATACATTTAAAATCACATTGGCAGTAAAAGTGCTTGATTCAAAACACACTGACCTTTCCTCTCTACTTCCATTTCTGAGAGTTGGTGTATGCAAGCGAGATTTTTAGTTTCAGGCATTTGGGGACTACTTTGAGGGTCGTAAGAGAGGCTTCTAAAAGTTCAAGGGAAAACATCATTGTTTTTGCTTTTCACTTGTACGTGAACTTTGTGAAGTCCCCTCACAGAAGAGTTTGCAGAGTGTTTGGTTATGCTACTACCCCCCCACACTTCCCCCCCCCCCCACTTCCTGGGTTCAGAATTTAAACATTTCAAGCCGTATTAGGTTAGATGGGTCAGCGTTAAAGTCCCATGGCTCAGCCATCCTCGGAGGATCAGCCTTGAGTTGGAAGTAGCTCACGGCAAGCCTGGCTCTCTGGAGATCATTCCCGTCCCCTTGGAATGGAACCGTGGCTCCCATTCCAGAGCTGGCTTTCCTGAAGCCCTTGGATCTCCTCCTGATTGGAAACAGGCTCGGAGTCCTCCGAGCCCTCACCCAGACTCCCACCCATCCTATACTTTATAGTATAATGATCCCTCCCGCCCCCACCCCTTAAGGTCCTGTGGGAAAACCTGCACTTGACTAAACTTTGCTTATACACGGGAGCTTCAAACCACGTGTGAAAAACTGGAATTAAAAAATAGAGGAGT